GCTGGTCCTTGGCTGGTCCTTGGTTGGTCCTTGGCTGGTCCTTGGTTGGTCCTTGGCTGGTCCTTGGTTGGTCCTTGGCTGGTCCTTGGTTGGTCCTTGGCTGGTCCCCTTCAGTTCCTTTTTAAACATCAATCTTTTTACTAAAATATTCTTTCTGTCATGGTTTGTGGACATTAACATCTAGAGAGAAGCGCCATCTACTGGTCAGGCCCTGTAATATAGTGAAAGGTTGGAGTCAGAGTAATAAATATGTACACCCAGGAGAAGAACAGTGGCTGGAAGTTGGAGGGGATATTGCTGCCATTTGGCTGCTTTTCACTGGAAGGGGTCATTTTGAACGGCTGCTACTGTAGTCTGTAGACTAACATTAGTCTGCAGACTAACATTAGTCTCAGACTGACTGGAAGACATTGACTGAGTTAGCCACTGACATTGGGTCTAATGTCAGAAAATAGAAAGTAGAGGAAATAGAAAGTCATTCACTGAGAAATGTTAATGTAGGAATTCTTTATTCAGTGGATGATGCTGTCGTTTTTGGAGCGTTTGGTTTATTTCTCATTTGAAATATATTGCACGTTATATTGACAAAAAAAGCAACTCAAACGATTTTAAAGGGTAACGCACAGACAGAGTATAAAAGTATACGACATCATCATGCATGCAGTGTTTAAGGAAAATACTACAGCATTAACAGACATTTACATGAAATTAAATGTATGATGTGATTACCATCTCAACACAATAAAAACATGTATATAACATGTGCATCATCAATTTATCACTTTTGGCTCATCTTTATTATTCTGCTCCATTAACACATTAATTTTATTGTGATTTATTTGTATAATATGTTATATTACATGATTTATAGACTTCAAACAGCCAGTCTGTGTCAAAGTGATGAATTTCTCTTTATTTTAAAAGTCTTAAGCCCCCCTGAAAATGAGAACATCATGGTTGTTTGATGCTGTAGCGCATTGATTGTTTACATTGAGACCGGTCTAACTAGGGAGTACCAATATGGCGCCGGTGGCTTCACTTCAACCCCATACAACCAACGGACAATGAGAAATCCGGTGAATAAACAGAGATCAGTTGTTTTTCTGGGGGTGCTCCTCCTCAAGCTGCTTCAGGGAACAGACCAGGACCTTTACCTGGCTCCTTCAAAATAAAAGCCTTGTATCTATAAATAAATCCAGATTAGAAAATAAGCTGTGGTGTGATAGCAGGGTTTAAATGTCTCCTTCACTAAATTTAGAGCTGCTGGTCTTTGCGTGTTTGGATCTGGTCTCCTCTAAGTGAACTTCCACATGTTCCCTAAACGTTCCTGCTGCTTGGCGCTCAGCGCTCCATCAGAGGCTGTTTTATTCTGATTATCCTGCACTGCAAAAAAATACATCCAATTAACTCAGTTTTTCTGAAATTATTGTGCAGGTAAGTGTGACTTTTTGCCAATGGAACAAGACAAATAACATTTAAAATTAAATTAAAAACTACTGCTGCCTCTTATATCAAGTGCATAATATCTAATTATCTTACTATAAGGCTAAAAATCATTCAAAATAACTCGTATTCATCAACTCTTTAGGTCACAAATTCCACGGAGTGATTTTACGTAGATATAAACTGCATCTGTTTGTTTTCTAGTGTTTGAAGATAAAAATAGTAAAATTAAGTATTACTAATATCTATAAAGTAGTAAAAAAGGTTCTGCAGCTCTGGCTCTCTGCTGCCCTCCTCTGGTGAGGATGACTAACTGGCACAGTGTCGCCACCATCAGGTTAAACTGTGAATCACAGGCGTCAGAGTGGGAGGGTTTTAAACCAGAACAGTTTGAACTATCAGAGGAAAACTGGACCTGTTTGGTTCTGAAGGTTAAGCCCCGCCCCCAGCCTCTGATTGGTGGAGCTGATGAAGAGGCGTTAATGGCCTCCATTATTGTTCCCATGTGTGAACGGAGCAGAATCTGCAGCTGCAGGGTTTCTGTTTCCTGTTTATGGTTGCCTAACGTCACGCCCCTCAGACCCAGATGTGTGGAGAGCAGAACCATCCGTCTCCATGTGGAGGACGATCATCAGATTGAGCTGAAACATGTTGGACGCCATTAAAAGCTGCTGTGGTTAAACTGGTTCTGGTGGTGTTCTCCTCAGCAGGGCTCATGGATGAACGTCCAAAGATCCACATCTTTCTGGGAGCTCCTCCTCCTGCCTCCATCTTAGCTTCAGACGCTGGGACGGAGGAAGAGGAGCGTCCTCCTGCAGGATGGAGACACCTGCAGCTCACCTGGAGGGGGGGGCGCCTCAAAGCTGCAGCAGGTGAGACCGGTTCTGGTTCTGGTTCATGTTTGCCCCTCAGAGGTTTATCTGTGGTCGTTTTGCTGTCCAGCAGACGTATCTTTTAGTGTTGTTATTTTTCCTGTAGAGCGATAATGTTTCAATTCTCTGGTTCCGTTTATGAGACATTTTTTATCTCTTTGTTTTATTGTGATGTTTTCTGCTCAGTCTCTGTGTCTTTGGTCCATAAAGTGTCTCTTTTCTGCGTTTTTGTTTATTTTTAATCGAGTATCACAGCTTTTGTTATTTTCCTGCTCTTCTCTGCTTCCTCTGGGATGTAATGACCGCTAACGGTGAGGAGGAATCCCTTTCCTTTCAGATGTTCCTGGGAATGAAGCCGAAATCTCCCGGTTCTACTCTGGGAATGAGGATCCTGAAGCGTCCAATCAGGGTTTAGATAAAACAGAGGATCCAACAGAACCAGAATCTGATGGGACCACAGAGTGGAAGGAAGGACGATGGAACACAGACGGAGGATCAGCGTGTGAAAGAGGAGGTCTGAGGTCAGAGGTCGACCCGGATGGTGCCGAGGAGGATCAGTGTTCTGCTTCGGTCCAAGACTATCTGGACGGCTGTTTCCCTGCAGCTCAACCAGAACCAGACTCCAGACCGCAGCCTACACCCCCTCCTCCGTCCACCAGAACCCAGTACCTCAGCACCTGGACTCTGAGTCAGGCCCTGATGCTGAGAGGCAGACATGGCGTCCAATCAGCATCCAGCCCTGAGAAAACCCCGCCCCCTGTCTCCTCCAGCACACCTGAGCTCTTCAGCCCAACCGCCTCCTCTCCTGGAGCCTCCATGGAGCTCTTTAGCCCAGTCTGTGTCTCTCAGAGGGTGGAGCAAGGCGGAGTCATCATGGAGGCCACTGCTGAAGGTGTCCTCTGTTCTCAGGAGTCCAGAGCCCCCCAGGACTCCCCAACAAGGCCCCCCTGCAGCAAGAAGCCCAAACCCTCTGAGGATTCAAAAGCTGCAGGAGGCCAGAGCTCCTCCTCCACCTTCGCTGCTCCGCTGCAGAGTCTGACCACCCCTCTGGACCGGTGCCTCCGGCTGGGTCTCAGGTTCTCTGTCCTGGTGGTAGTGGTCCACCCGTGTCATCTGAAGGAGGTCCAGGTGGGTGTTGTGGACGTTCAGGTGGTCTGATAGTATCCTTATAGGATGCTTCACTTAACCAAGAAAAAAGTGACCCACCAAAGATGGCCGCATAACGTAATATGGCGACTCTTTCAGTTACGGCACAAAATAAAATCAGTGTTAAAGGAAAAGTCCGGTCAGCAGGAATAATAAATGGATCATAATTTATACCTAAAACTAATAATGAATTTACCGTTAATCAGTAAAAATATATATATAATTTTTATTGCGATCAATGGGAACTACTAGACACATCTGCAATCAACAACAATTATTGAAGATTTCCAGAGGACTTCACCATTGAAATTCACCAGAGCTATAGTGAAACTGACAATGCCCACGTGCATGGCAGCTGGATGCTGGAATACATCGGGTAAAAGTGAAAAAAAGAGTTATTCCACCTTTCTGATTCCTGATCCTCCACGGACGGGTTGGTCGTTGGATCGCCAACTTGAAGAGGGAGGATTTGCCATCGAACTTCTGGCCAGAGAAAAAACCCGTAATATGTAGCCAACATTTGGAAGAAGAATGTTTTCAAGATGACTTGGATAATAGCGCGTTGTGACAAACACCAGATACAGCACTGGGACTTGATCAACAGCCGATACCGCACCGTGACAATGTCACTAACCAGTAGGTGGCAGTAGTGTTCTTTGACAAACATGGATGCCTCCAGTAAAGCACATTCACATGAAAATTACTCTGAATTAAAAACGCTGATCATTTTTTGAAGAGGATGGAATCATTTCAAATTTAAAGAACTTTCTGAAGTTTTCTTTAATGTTTTGGTCTACAAAAATACTAGATAATGTCAATATCGTGCCATCAACATTTTAAAGATATTTAACAATAAATAATCATATTATCAGCATAAAGATGAGATTCATCATCATCAGGGTTTGAACAGTAATGGTGTCCCTTTAAAACAGGAAGAAAGGAGGCGAGCAGGCAGCATGGGCGCTGAGGTCTAATAGAAAAAGCTGGAGAACCAGTTTACAGGCTGAACTTTTTGAGTTAATTAATTTATCAATTATTGGAAGCTAACAACAGAGCTATGAAACATGCTGGAGAAGATTCTCAGTCATCCAGGTCAGAGTTATTCCTAAACAGTTCAAAACAATCCGCTGGACTTTATTAGTTTGAAGATGTTTCTCTTCCATGCAGGCAGCTTTTTCAGTTCAAAATGTCAGAAATAGCGTTTAGTTCCAGGTTTTATCCAGCAGCCCAACAAAGACCCTAAAAAAAAACAAGGCTTTGTTGGGCTGCTGGGGGCAGGTGGGCTCTCCTCATCCTCCACAGGAAGTCAAAGCTCTTCTATGCCCTTTAGACCAGAGAGGTGGTGTGGACTCCTGTTAGGGTGGAGATGCTCTTAGCCACAGGATGTTAAACCAAACCTCCTTCTCAGTCCCCTGAAATAGTCCTGATGTTCTGATCCGTTTGTTTGAAGGTGAAGTCCGGACCTTCAGCTGGAGCGTTTGTTCCTCTAGCGTCCATCGTGGTGACGGACCAATCAGGAGCAGAGATGAAGGTGGTGCTGTGGAGGAGAGCGGCCTTCTGGGTGCTGACGGTGAATCCTGGGGACGTCCTGCTCATCACAGGTAGACCTGAGATGGACGGTTCTGGTTCTGTCTGTCCATTTTAAAGCAGTAGCTTCACTAGCCGTGTTTAGCAGGATAACCGGGTCCTGCTACGGGAACCATCTTAGAGAAGCAGGTTCTGGTGTCAGTGTGACCTTCACAGGTGTCTCTTTATGCTCCGCCCAGGGCTGCAGGTGAACGAGGACAAGTGGAGAGGAGAGACCGTCCTACAGTCCACCTTCTCCAGCAAACTGTTGAACCTGGGTCACGCGTCACAGCCAGCGCTGACAGCAGCCAATCAGAGGCCTCCCTCTCTAGCTACCCAGCATGTTAGCGCTCGCTCGCTCTCCTCTCTGTGTCAGTTTATCAGAGAGCGGCGCCCCCTGCTGGTGTCTCTGCCAAGCCGCGCCCCGCAGGACCTCAACCGGCTGCCTTATGTCACCCTGAGGACGATGCGGGTCAACACTCTGGTTCACGTTCTTCTACGTGTCAAACACTCACAGCTCAGCCCAGGTGAGCCCGTCACAGTGGGCGGGGCCTATTTCATCTCTCCTGTCAGGTGTTCTGGTTCCAGCAGGACCACCTGTGATGGACGGAGGTGTTCCTCATGGCTGCCTCCTCGGCCCGCTGCTCCTCCTTAAGCTACATGTAGTTTTATTTTTCCTTCAGATTAATTTAACAGAAATTAGAAAGAATTAATTATTATGGGATTTAATTAGTCAATTTTCAGACAATTTCTACATTAAATTTAATTAAAGTGTTGATTTTGTATCTTAATGGAAACATGATGCTGTCTGTCCTTCTGTCTCTCTGCCTGTCTGTCTCTTTGTCCCTCTGTCCCTCTGCCTGTCTGTCTCTCTGTCTCTCTGCCTGTCTGTCTCTTTGTCCCTCTGTCTCTCTGTCCCTCTGTCTCTCTGCCTGTCTGTCTCTCTGTCCCTCTGTCTGTCTGTCTCTCTGCCTGTCTGTCTCTTTGTCCCTCTGTCTCTCTGTCCCTCTGTCTCTCTGTCCCTCTGTCTCTCTGCCTGTCTGTCTCTTTGTCCCTCTGTCTCTCTGTCCCTCTGTCTCTCTGCCTGTCTGTCTCTTTGTCCCTCTGTCTCTCTGTCTGTCTGTCTCTCTGTCCCCCTGTCTCTCTGTCTGTCCTTCTGTCTCTCTGCCTGTCTGTTTCTCTGTCCCTCTGTCTGTCTCTCTGTCCCTCTGTCTGTCTGTCCCTCTGTCCATCTGTCTGTCTGTCTCTCTGTCCCTCTGTCTCTCTGTCTGTCCTTCTGTCTCTCTGTCTGTCTGTCTGTCTGTCCCCTTGTCTCTCTGTCCCTCTGTCTGTCTGTCTCTCTGTCTGTCTGTCTCTCTGTTGTCTGTCCCTCTGTCTTTCTGTCTGTCTGTCTCTCTCTCAGGGTGGAGGAATGAGGCTGAGTCGCGCAGTCGCTCTGCTGTCCAGCTGAAGACAGTTCTGACTGTGGAGCAGCCGGACGGTCAGCAGGGGGTGCTGTTGCTGTGGGGAGCAGCCATGGACTGGCTGCCCCGCCTCCAGAGACACAGAGGTAGAGAGGCTCCGCCCTCCTTTGGTTCAGGGTTAGTGGCTGCGGGGCTACAGGAGGTTCTGCTCCTCTGTCTGTCCTACAGAAGCTGTTTGGGACTTTAGGGTCCTCCTGGTGAGGGAGGGGTTGACCTCTGACCTCTTGGAGCTACACTCCACCCCCTGGAGCCTGGTCCGGGTTCTGGATCCACGGGATCCCCGGGCGCTGGACTTCGACCGGGCCTGGCGCCGTCAGAAGGGAAGCAGCGTTCCTCTGGAGTTGGACCTGGACACCATGTTGTCCCAGAAGTACAGCGGTGAGTCGTTGATCGCTCCATCAGAACCAGAACTCTAACAGAACCCTGCAGGTTGGATGAAGGCTTTTCCTCCTCCTCCTCCAGGTGAGGTGGAGCTCAGAGTCCAGGTCCTCAGCTTCCAGTTCCAGGAGGCCCCGCCCTCCCAGAACCCGCCCCAACCGGTTCTGGACAGCTCCACACCATTGGACGCCATCCTGACGGCGCTTGGCGATGATGTCACCTACACGGGCTGCGCCCGCTGCTCCACTGAGCTCGACACGGACGAGAACGGGATCTACGCCACCTGCTACCCCTGCCTGCCGCACACTGCCGTGCGCCGCTTCTACAGGTGCTGATGACATCATGGTGACATCATCACTGAGGATGCTGGTCCTGATGATGCAGCTTCTTTATTTCAGGTCAGCCGTGGTGACGGTCAGCAGGCCGGGCTGCGCTCTCCTGGGTGTCCGGGTTCCTCCAGTTCCTCTGCAGAAGATCCTCCAAGCTCCACCAGACCGGCTCCACCGGAGCTCAGGTGAGACGCTCAGTCAGAGGTCAGGTGACCAAAGGTCAGAGGTCATTGATGTTCTGTTGCTCCTTCAGCTCCAGGTTCTCCGGTGAGGAACATCCAGGTGGCAGCAGAGAAGATCCAGACCCTCCTGTCTCTTCCCAAGAAAACCTTCATCATCATCATTCGCAGCCACTTCCTGTGCGACGAGAACAGCGTCCCCATCAGTCAGGACTTCACTCTGCTGGACCTCCGGTTCCCGGGTCCATAAAGGCCCCAGCAAGACCAGGTTCTGGTTCTGATGGTCTCTGGAGGTTCTTCTGCCTGCTGACCAGAGGAAGAGCAGGATGAGGAGGATGAAGGATTTGGAGGAGTTCTGGTGACATCATGAAGCTGAAGATGAAAATATTTTGTTTGATTGTTCTGTTCCTTGGAGGGTTCTGTTGGTTCTGAGTTGTGTTAAAACCCGTCTAGGGATGCAAAGATCCATCCCCTTCAGATCCCAAGCAGCCAAAACATACATTTGAACATTTTATGATATTTATTTTAAAAAAAAAGTATTTTTGAAATAAATGTTACAAATGGAGTAATGACTTCAGAGAGATCTAACGCCGAAAACAACAAACAAAAGGAAACTGAATATTAAGCAACTTATGTAATTAAAAGTAAAAAAACACAAATTACAAAAACTTACCTCAGTAAATAAGAAAAAACATGAGAAAACTTCAGGAAACAGAAACAGCAGCTCACTGTGTTCGGCCGGTTGAAATGAGCTGAGGGTGGAGGCAGGAAGTCCTAATCAGCAGCTTTTACCGCTTTCATCCAGGAACCAGGCAGCGACACGCACCTGCACACTCATATTTACATAAGTTGATGACACCAGTCGTAACTAGAGTTGCCAACCGTCCCTTGAAAAGCAGAATCGTTCTGTATTTAGACATAAAGGTACCTGTCCCATATTTAGTGGAAAAGGAACACACTTTGTCCTGTATTTGAGAGTGAAATATAGTCACTAAAAAGCTAATGGAAAATGAAGAACAAGGGCACGTTAGATGCAAAACTTAAGTTTCCTGGGCCCTGTCCTGCGTTGTGACCAATGAGCTGACAACATATATGTAACGATACAAACGTAACGATCCACTCTGCTGTGAACACTGTAGCTGGTAGTAAAACACTTGAATAGTATAACCCAGCGCTTCTCCTGTCGTCCTACTTTGACAGTAAGAGGACTGAAGCAATCCATACCGGTGGAGAAGAACGGTGGCTTCAGCAACCGCAGACGTGCTGGTGGTCCAGTGGGGGAAATAAGTATTTGACCCCTTGCTGATTTTGCAGGTTTGCCCACTTACAAAAAATGCAACAATCTACAATTTTAATCATATGTACATTCTAACAGTGAGAGAAAGAATCCCTAAGAAAAGTCCAAAAATTCACATCATATGAATTTATAAAAATTGATAACCATCTGATGAGGAAAAACAAGTATTTGACCCCCTACCAAACAGCAAGTATTCTGACTCCTACAAGCCAGTTAGTCTTTCTTTAAGACACGGCCCCAATCCCAACCAATTATTTACATCAAATACACCTGCCTCACCTCGTTACCTATATAAAAGACACCTGTCAACACCCAAACAACCAGCATCCAACATCAGCACCATGGGCAAGACCAAAGAGCTTTCTGCAGACATCAGGTACAAGATTGTTGATCTGCACAAGGGTGGGATGGGCTACAAGCGAATCGGAAAGCAACTTGGAGAGAAAAGATCAACTGTTGGTGCAGTTATTAGGAAATGGAAGAAGCACCACACCACCGCCAACCTCCCTCGGTCTGGGCCTCCACACAAGATCTCGCCTCGTGGGGTGTCCCTGATCATGCCAACGGTGAGGAATCATCCCATAACCACAAGGGGGGAACTGATGAATCAACTTGAGGCAGCTGGGACCACAGTTACAAAAGAAACGGTTGGTAACACACTACGCCGTCATGGATTGAAGTCCTGCAGCGCACGCAAGGTCCCCCTCAGTGAGAGAGCTGAAGATGGGTGGAGGATGGGTGTTTCAGCACGACAACGACCCTAAGCACACCGCCAAAGCAACAAGAGTGGCTGAAGAAGAAGCACATCAACATTCTGGAGTGGCCTAGCCAGTCTCCAGACCTATCCAATTGAAAATCTTTGGAGGGAGAAGTTGCTGCACTACAGTCTGCCTCCAACCCGAATCAAGTTGAGCTTTTTGTCATACTCATGGGCAAGGGCAATCAGATGGCTGTTGGAGGGGACTGGTTTGCTTTCTGACAAGTGCTTGATGTCCTTTGGGAAGCATTCCACCTGCACTTGTCTCAGCAGGTCCCTCTCAGCATCCCAATAGTCCTTGGCTGTTGGAGTAGACTGGTTGCTTGCCTCCCCGTGACGCGCCTGGACCACTGCTTCCGCTAACTTTTTAAAACTGTTGAACTGACCCATTTCAGGTAAACAGGAGAGTGGGGCAGTCATTATGGAACCAGAGAATGCAATCTTGCACAGCTCTTCACCCTCCAGGGACTCCGCTGTGGGTTTGGTTGGGGAGTGCTCAGGGGACTTATGCAGGAATGCTGGGCCGTGGCTCCAATGGCTGCTTTTCCCTGCAAGGTCTCTTAGGCTCTTCCCATGGGTTATGTTGTCTGCGGCAGGGGCGTTGCTAGGCACAAAGCTTTACTGGGGCACTGGCCCCCTACTGCATATGCCCCTCCTGCCATACACAAATACAGACAAGCACACTGCCCCACCCTGATAAATTCCTACCAAAATTACCAGTTGAGATATTAATGAGTATAAGAGCATATTTGTTTTAACAAACATAAACAACTTCAACATTGCAGCTATAAAAAAATAAGACATCAACAACTTTGACAAATAAAAAGTTTCCTTATACACATTCTGAAGTAATCATTAATTCCTAGGTTTCAGAGTTTTAGTTCGGGGGAAAGTTTAACTCATCCTGAGCTAAGTTTTTATTTTATTTTTTGATCATTAAAGTGTTCCTCCTATTTTTTTATTTTTGCAAAGCGGTCAATCACTAGACTGTGACTCAGCTTAGAAAGTTCTTCCTTTTCAACTGATAAAATAGAAAGATGATGGAGCCTGTCTTGTCCCATTGTGCACCTCAGCTAAGTGTGGATCCTTCCCAACACACTGAATGACCTTTCACAACTCCAGCTGTAGACTGGGATGGTGAGGAGATCTGGATGACCTGCGTTAGTGTTGGGAACACGATGTTATTAAGCAAGTTGAAAACACACTGCATATCCTTGATGACAAGGCTTTCTTTTTCAACCATAAAAAGCTTTCAAACCATTTTGAATTAAATGAACGTTTTTTTTTACTCCAAATTTGTCCTGGGGATAGTGGGACAACTTCACTTGTTTAGGACCATCATGCTTTCCCCCTAAGTCACTAATGTCTCCTTCTTGTTTGTGGAAGCTGGTTGTTGCCCCCTCAACAC